TTATATTCACGTGTGAATTAAAAATTAACTGAGTTAATCAGTGACTGTTAATGACAAGTTGCATAAGTTTGCGGAATTATGGTCGCGACCCGTGCCAGAAGGTGAACTACTAATTTTTTAATGGGCTACTTAAGTTGTAGGTACAGCAAGAAAAAGTGGCCTATTTGCGACTTTTAGCAGGTGTTTTTGCCTACTAATTGGCAAATTTATTCCTTGTATTATTTTGTCTCATAAATACACGACCTTACGAGTTTAGATTCCCTTTATTTTACTCACAATTATATCTTTTAAAATAGATTTATTTAAACATTAATTAATTAAGATCTTCTTCTATATTACTGTTCAAGGCATATAATATTTTGCGGTTTCCATACTAAAAATATTAACCGAAACAGTAACACATTAACTTTAATACATTAAAGGAAATCCTTAATCATCAAAACTTTCAGCGAAAATTATTCTGAGCTTAATTAACACAATAATAACTTTTACCAAGAGGGAGAAAACTCCGATACGTTTAGCTTCTTAGGTCAATGAACTGATTAAAATGAAGACGTTCTACTCTAATGTTACAATACTTTATTTTAATAAGAGCAGTGTTGGCCTAGTGGCTTCAGCGTGCGACTCTCATCCCCGAGGTCGTAGGTTCGATCCTCGGCTGTGCACCAATGGACTTTATTTCTATGTGCGCATTCAACATTTGCTCGAACGGTGAAGGAAAACATAGTGAGGAAACCGGCTTGCCTTGACCCAAAAAGTCGACGGCCTGCGTCAGGCACATGAACTGATCACCTACTTGCCTATTAGATTTACAAATGATCATGACACAGATACAGAAATCTGAGGCCCAGACCTAAAAAGGTTGGAGTGCCACTGTTTTTTTTACTTTATTTTAATGCTATACCACTTTTTCCCTGCCGCTCAATAAGCGTTTCTGGTCTTACCATATCTACTTAAACGAGTTCTACTTTTGCCATCGTTCATTATTTTGTTTTTTAGAACAGGGACAAACGGGCAGGAGGCTCATCTGATGTTATGTGATACCGCCACCCATAGACACTCTCAATGCCAGAGGGCTCGCCAGTGCGTTGCCGGCCTTTTAAGTTTACTCTTTGATTAGAATATTTAAAAAAGCGTTTACGCTGATTTATTCAACTTTCAATTATTTTTAATAGCATCCAAGAATTGGTCGCACATATTTCTGCTGAAAGAAAAACAAGAACCATTAGCTATTTACATTTCCTTTTAACACAGTTTAATTAAAATTGAACTTTAAATTAGTTAACGAGTTAAATTGTTTACATTCAATAGACTCGAGCGCGGGAACAGAATCATGTCTAAATAACTTTTGTTTAATAGAAGTTCGTATATACGTTTTTTAATATACAATATACATATATAACAATGTATACTTTATATTACAAAACAAAAATATCTCGTTAACATACGAGTCGTTCGTTTACCGAAATAATAATCATTAAATATTTTTGTTATCTTTGGAATGCGTACTGTTTGACAGTGTAAAATTGTACGTCAAAATGTTTTTTAATTGCAGCGGTAATCTTATTAATTTATCTGAAATAACTAGGTTACATTGATATGCTTAAATGAAATACAGTCTCGTGCACTTTTGTCAGACCATAATCTGAGAGCATTTAATATTTCACGTAAGTTATGATCTTTAAGTTTGAGGATCATTCGTTTAATATATTTAATATAATATAGAGGAAAATTTTAACCCTGTGTGTATGTACCGAATAAACTTTGTCCAGTAGTTAGGACTGACTTCAAAATTGAATTTGCCATTAGAGTTTTACCAAAGTGCAGTGCCTAGTCCAACGTGGGACTCTCATCCCTGGGATCGTAGGTTCGATCCCCAGCTGTATTTGTGCACTAATGGACTTTCTGTCTATGCGCGCATTTAATACTTGCTCGTACGGTGAAGGAAAACACCGTAAGAAAACATGCCTTATACCCGAAAAGTTGACCGTGGTTATCAGGCATACAAGGTAGATCACCTACTAGATACAAGAATTTGAGGCCCAGAACTAAAAGGTTTTAGCACCATTGGTATTAAAATGTTACACTAACTCTTAGTAATATAGATTTCAAAAAAGTAATAGCTAATATTTATTTCAATTTCCAAAACAAGTACAACGTACGCAAATCAAGGATAATCAGACAATTATCATTGATTCGCGTCTTTCTATTTAATATATTACAGGAATTAACTTTTTTCTGGACTCATTTAGGCTAAGTTTATATGAATAAAGCAAGAATGTTTTTTATCCGTAGTATTGTTGATGTCATTAATACTTCCTTGTAGTAAATAATAATACTATATAGCTTCCGCAACATGTAATATACACATTACACATACAAATAATTTTACAAGCAGTGCCGGATATATCCATTTGTGATCGGGGTCGATTCGGAAATCGTTAACTTGTGTATCGAGATATTGATAAAGTGTAGGCCTCCTTGAGTGCGTATTATCTTCAAGGGAATAATAATTTGACATGACATGTATTAAAACAGTTCACTGTCACCTGAGTGAACGATACTACCTTAATATTTGAAAATAAATTGCATACATTCTAATATAATTAACTAGCTGATCCGGCAAACGTCGTTTTGCCATGTATATCATTTATAATAAAAAAATAGGGGTTGACCGTTAAAAAAAGAAAAACATTTTTTTTATCTAAAAATAATAAAAAAAAATTTGGGGTGGACTACCTTTAACATTTGGGGGGATGAAAAATATATGTTGTCCAATTCTCAGACATACCCAATACGCACACAAAATTTCATGAGAATCGGTCAAGACGTTTCGGAGGAGTTTAACTACAAACACCGCGACACGAGAATTTTAAAAAGCAGAGTTGGCCTAGTATCTTCAGCGTGCGATCATCCCTGAGGTCGTAGGTTTGATCCCCGGATGTGAACAAATGGACTATCGTTCTATGTGCGCATTTAACATTCGCTCGATCGGTAAAGGAAAGCGTTGTGAGGGAACCGGTTTGCCTTAGACCCAAAGGTCGACAGCGTGTGTCAGGCACACGAGGCTGATCACCTACTGGCCTATTAGCTTGACAAATCATCATGAAACAGATTCAAAAATCTGAGGTCCAGACCGGGGGTTATAGCGCAACAGATTCATTAAAAATTTTATTGATTAATTATAATATACTTCAATTGAATTAATATTGATTGAATACAATTCTTAATTTGGGTTCATTAGAGTACTTCACGCTGAGATAGTGCCGGATGTGACTGAGTTAACAAAAACATTTCTGAAATCTGAATTTTCAAAAGAGTTTCTGTGAAAATTATTATGAATAACTATAATAATAGTTAATAATAATATAAAATTTACTAATGACAGGAATGGAATGTCAGCAATCATACACTGTTTATTTTTATCTTGAAGATTTTAAATTAACAAATATATTTAAGCTAAATTCCCTAGAAGGTTTGTTTAAAAAATACTCAAGGGTGAAAAACAATCGAACGGCTTTGTCATACCTATGATTACATACTCCATGATATACATAGTAATAACCCAGTGCTGCTACAGACCTAAGTATTAGCCTCAGATATCTATTATTCCATAGAAGATTTTTCAATGGTAACTAGCCCATCTGTGCCTGACGCAGTAGATTTGGGTGACTTTTTGCACAGGCGGGGCTCGAAGGTTACTATTTCAACCGCTAAACTTTTTCATATCACTTACTTAGCCATAATTATCTGAGCATGATTCAATTCCATTAAGTTATTTTCCAGCGATATTTACGTCTGGAAGCTTCTTACAAAGCAATTAGCTCGCAGACAGTAATCGCTTCCAGCTCGGAAACTTTACGAGCTTCAATTTTCAGTCGGTTTCAGCGAAATTCCCACAATTCTGCACCGCTGCCGATTATTACTACGTCATTTTTCTCATAAAAATTTAAGATGCCTGAGGCGTGAAACGCGATTTTATTGTTATAATTAACAATAACTAAGAAAAAAACCTGACTTTTAAAAAAATTTACACATTTTTGTGTCTCATTTCAAAATTTCATTAGTACATAATCCCAAACGCTCAGTACCTACTCAGTTTATTATTGCTCTCTACGTAATTAATAATTATCCACGACATATGAATGTCATATATATATATATTATATATGTACTCTAATCATTCACGGAATTGAATACGAAGTTATTTCCCATATTTGTTATATAACCTTTTACACAACATTTCGGGACAAATTACCGAAAATAGTCCGCTGAGACTTCAAAGTTCAAAGGATTGAGTATACGAAATATATTACCAATTTAATAATTCTGTCAAGCTCTTTGTGACCGCTTTGATGTTGACAAAAGTTAACAAGTTGCGACCTCTATCGTTGTTTTAAACTAGGTCTCAACTAGATATTCAGACGACTAAAAGGCGTTAAGCCAAATTATACTCGAAACTTTTATTTCTTTTGTATTGAAAATTATTATATGTATGAAACAATATGAAATCCTCTGATTGAGAACGCGTTTTACTGCAATTTGCCGGTTAATCATAAGGCTGATATTTCTTAACATGATGACATGTGAAATCTATCTATGATCCTCAAAAGATATTCTCTTTTACGAACAAGCGAACTGTGGAATCGAAACCCTGTGGGAGTATTTCCTGAGAGTGTACTCCTCAAAGACCGGCAACGCACCCACTAAAAATGCAGATACATACCAATTTTTAAACTGAAAAATAAAACGTTAAACCGCACAGATTCATAGTTAAGGTTACGAGTATGTATTATCTGTTCAATAGTTTTTTTATAACATGGGTATAAAGAATGTGTGTTGTCTATTCATATAATAATTAGTTGTGTAACAGTTTTGTATGCAAGTAATTAAAATTATAATAAACGTTTAATTTTTTTTATATTATAAACAATCGTGTGATTTAAGACATAAAATTGCTGTTAAAATTTTCGAAATTGTTTATTACACTACAATGAATAATGAATGTTGAATGCAAGATACAATTTCAATTGAAACTAATATGCAATTTGGTTTGTTTCAGGTTCCTCGCTATCTGGTGGCCCCTCAAATGCCAGATCACGAAGCGGCGAGCCAGAATGATGATTTTCTTTATCTGGGTATTCGCAATTGTCGTCACTGTACCCTGGGTATTTTTCTTCGACCTGGTCGTCGTATTTGATGAGAGCCCCCACGTTCATCTCTGTTTGGACGTCTGGCCCAATCCCATCAGTGAGGTCCTCTACTTTGTCATCGGCAACCTTATCTTCTGCTACATACTCCCCATGGTTCTTATAACTATGTGCTACATTCTCATTTGGATCAAGGTCTGGCGTCGCTCCATCCCCACCGATACTCAGGACGCTCAAATGGAAAGAATGCAGCAAAAATCAAAAGTTAAAGTTGTCAAAATGCTCATCGCCGTTGTCATATTATTTGTCCTTTCCTGGTTTCCTCTATACCTAATCTTTGCAAGGATCAAATTGGGAGGACCTATACAGAAATGGGAGGCGGAAATGTTACCCATAGTCACACCACTAGCGCAATGGTTGGGTTCATCGAACTCTTGCATAAATCCGATCTTGTACGCGTTCTTCAACAAGAAGTATAGGAAAGGTTTCGTAGCGATCGTCAAGAGTAGGAAATGCTGTGGACGGCTCCGTTACTATGAAACTATTGCCCTGCAATCATCAAGTACGTCAACGAGGAAATCGTGGCATTACAATAATAACCACGCCTCAATAAGTCGCCGCTCGCCGCCGGTTGACAAGAATGCTGTGTCATTCATCTTCAACCACACTGGAGTTTAATTTGCCTTGTTAAGAGATATCGGATACCAAACAGGCTTTGAGCCAATAGAAATCCAAATGATTTCGAATTAATTAATACCGAAAACTAAGTTTTCGTAAGATCTGTATATATGATAGGCAAAGAACAAAACTGCGATAAAAAAGAACATAACTGCGAAACGGTAAAGCTGTTTAACAAAAGTCGATGTGTACACCTTATTAGATATAGTTATTAGAGAAATATTAGTTTAATATTTAATTCCTTTTGTACAATGACTTTGAGTCTTGTTTAAAGATTGAAAATTATTAAATAACATAAGTACAAAATTTTATAACTATTATCGTAAAGGAGCTAATTTTATTTTCCGGTAGTGCGCATGTAACATCATACTTTTATATATGGACATCTGACGAAATAATATAATAAGAGCAATAACTTATAACATTTTATATCTTGACAGATATATAGTATTTTATATAAAACAAAAAATAAGCATAGCTTCTAAAAACATTTCAACATATGCACAATATTTTTATAGTTCATAATAATATAGTTATATTACTCGTATAAATTTAAATGTTTGTTGTTGGATAATCTAATACTATTTTGAAACTCACCGTTAATAACCATTTATTATATCTATATTCTATATATTCAAAAGCGTATCTAGAATCGTGTACTTAATACCTACGCCCAATTACTTATCTGCCAATTTTAGGAAGGATTAAAAGACATAATCTAGTAAACTTATTGAATTCTAATGGCGAAATTGTTAACCCTTAATAAATGACTCCGAACAGATGTTAGTTTAAAATGCCGCAGTTTATAAAATTGTTCGAAACGATAAAATCCATACTTGTGTAGACGATCTTATTCATAAAAATTTAAATTTGATGGTGTGTCCGACGACACCTTAAGCCGCTCTCGGTATGTTCGCATATATACAGTATTCACTTAACGTCAAATAAGACTCCTTTTTAAAGTACGGTAGTTCTGAATACAATTATGACTCTTTTCCTCTGGGACAAGAGGACGCCACCTTCGACGGTCTAGCGCCGGTGCTTGTCACTCCACCTGGAGCTGACTAGTATTTTCAGATATTATGCTGCAGAAATAATTCTATTAATATGATTGATAAGTTCTAAACTGTTTTAACACTAGTTAAATAACTCAAACCAACAACAACATATGTCGCAACAATAATAATTATATTTAATAAAATTAAGAAATGTTGAGAAAATTTAATGCAATTTCTACAAAGCCTTGGTGCGTCGAAATGAACTTTTGAGCCACTCAAAGACCAACACTGACTTGCATAATTGTGGTTAAAATGAAAATTTTTGTGGGAAATTGCATTAAGTTTTAAAACGCCTGTCGCCAGGTTCATAGCCGCTTAGAATGCACAAATGTTAACATAGTATAATAATATATACCTATTTATATAAGATTAATATTTTCGTATCATTGCAATCTAATTATTGACGTATAACTATTTTATAAACTTCAAATATTATATTTGTACTTAATAAAATAATTTATATAAAAAAATAAAACAATAAAAAGATATTTTTCTACTAGATGGATTGCAGAAAGTTGTCAGATGGAATTTGCTTTTCTCACTGAATATTATTAATTTAGTAGTAATCATCAAAGCTTGCAAGACTGATGAACACAAAGCAAATAATTTCCTTCAAAAGGATTAAAAACGCTTGTAGATTCATTTAGATTAATTTAAGTCCGCAATATGCAATTGTAACGATCAATGCAAATGAATGCGATATGTTTCACGCTTCAATAGCTGAATTTGAATGAAATCTTTTGGTCTTATTATAACGTAGGCTAAAGATTATAGTTGCTATGGTTACAATGTTGTTCTATATAAAGTGACACAACAATGTATCTTTAGTCCACGATTTATAATAAGGCCGTACCTAACTGTTGCTAGCTTTTTCATTTTGAAAGGATTGCTTTTAACACTTATTTAGATGTACCCTACATCTTACACTAGGAGACTTAGAGCAAACTATGACATCCGATGACAAAATTACTTTTCGCTATAGTGTCTATAGGTCGGTCATCGAAAGCTGGCGCGTTCACAGTACTCACACCAATGCAATTTTACTATACAGTATGTTTAAAAATATGACTTTTTTTTGCCAAGCTATATTTTTTTCAAAGTATTCTAACCTCCAAAGAAATAAGTAAACAATCACAGACAAAATAATAATGAGAAAAAAGATCAACATGTACAGTAAAGATTCGATGACTCTTTTATACTTATAAGCTTGACCAAGCGTGAGAGAGACGGACAGTATTTTCATGATGCATATTCAGTTTGACATAACGCCTCGCGCTTATTCACAGACACTACACAAGCACAAAGTGTAAATACGTTAAAGCCGCCAGCTTTAGATAACATACCAATGCAGGGCAGACAAACTGGTCGTGGAAAACAATAACTATAATATTATATATTACTTTGGAATGTCGAAAAGTATTGTCTAAGCATGTTATTCAAGAGTTTTGTACTATTTTTAAGGAAATGAAAATAATACTAACATATGTAGTAACAATTTTCTGAAGAAAATGTTGATTAATTATTGTAAATTAACATCGATTTGTAAATTATATCTGTGACATATAATATTATTCCCATTAATATTTACTCCTAAAACCTTGACGTTGTGTTTAGTTTGATAATAAAAATGTTACCTGGTACATACTTTATATATAATCAGATTATGACGAAGTTAAGTATTCCGCTAATCGAAAAAACTTTCGTGAATATTTGTAATTAATTTAAGATAGCAAATTTTAAAATGTGTGAAACGTATAATTGGTGGTTAAGCTTCGAGTTGTCGAAAACTATCGAGCTTATCGGTAGAAAATTGAACCTTATTTAGTTGGATTTAGGTCCGGGTTTCAATGCGTAAATTGACTGTCAGGTATGAGTTAGATGTTAAACAAGTCTGTGGGATATTTGTGTAAAAAATAATTGTTGTATGAGTAATCAAGGACAAAATTACTCAAGCAAATACTCGAAAAACTTTATACGCTTTGTCATACGTCAACGAGCAAAGGTTTTCGATATTTGCAATAGTTTTCGTGCACTCGAAAGCCAGCGTGCTATGTTGACTTGTACCATTTAGAACCTATCTCTATATCTAGAAAAATCCATATATACTAATATGTCAGTATTGACCATCTGCAGAATTGTAAAAATTTAAAAACTCACCGAAATGAATTTCACTATACCATACACGCTGTATTTTGTATTTAGAATTTAGTTTCGGAAAAGTTAATTAATAAAACTAGATATAGGTATAATGCATGATATATACTTCTAGTTACATCAGCATAGTATACCTAAACCTAATAAATGTAAAATTTTACTGACATTTCACATATTATGTTATGATTATAATGTAGATGCCCTTTCAAATATCAAGATAACTAACGCTTGTTATAAACGTTTTAAAATAGGATTATTGCAGCATAAGCTTGTACTTTGTAGGTATTAGGTAATAAGTTATGTATAATAGTGTACCTATGTATATTCACATTAGTCGTTCGTTAGATAATTAGTTGTTGTAATTAGAAAACTTTAATGTAACTGATTTGTATATAATTGTATAAGGAACAACATTTATTTATTCAGGATGTGTTTTTCATAAGATTTGCTTTTTCATATGAATATTAAAAGATTTAATGAATACATCAAACTAATTTTACAGAATTTTAACCGAAAAGATTACGCTATAGTGATAAACAAGTATCGTTTAGTTAATGCTGGCAATAGTTCCACTATGATACAACATTTAGTTAGCTGAAAAATTCTCTTATAGGAAAATATATTAATTTAATATAAAAAAAAAGATTAAACTTCGTTGAACGTTTATATTATTGTATTAAAGTTGAAGTATATTAGAAGATAAATTGTATAACATTCAATGTAATATTCATCGTAATTTTGTAATTTGGTCCACCGGTCCGGAATATGGTTTCTATCGACTTTCTTATCTCGTTCTTATTATATACAAATCAGTTACTAACGAATTTAATATTACTCAATGTATTTAATACTGTAACCGTAAAGCAATTTTGACATATTCATTTTGTACTTACGTAAACATATCGATATTATAACGGAATCAAGAATTTTATAAACCTCTAAACCCAATAATTTAGATACATCAAAGGTTAGTATGAAATATTATTTTAAAAAGTTTACTGTTTACGCAATTCTATTATATGTTTTCGTTACGTTAACATTATTGTGACAATAACACTTTTGCTTTTAATGTAATCCCTACCAAGTTTATAGTACATTAATGATTTAATTCCAGATTGTTGGGTAGCACTCGCATTTTAGGTCAAAACAAGAAATGTATATGTTACACTATCGGACAAGAAACTGTTTGTAATTGCTTAACTTTTATAACGTTTTCTACAATATTTCTTTACAAGCGATAGTGTAGCAGAATCATGATAGATCTAGATAGTTCTAGATATCCGCTGTAACCGCTTACAAACATCGCAGAACACTACGGATTGTAATTGAACCAATTAATTATAAAATAAATTATGAAATTGAGGTCTTTTTTTTAATCTCCTAAAATAACAAAAAGCTATCCCTTTCAAGATCCACATATACATAAGAGAGTAATATGCCAACAAAGTGTTGATACTTAACGATCCAAAACTCTATAAACTTGTTAAAAACTACAGATTTCACGCAGTCCCAAATCGTCATCAGTCGTCAAAATATCGAACGATTCAAACGATTCGAAAAATATATGATAAAATAATAATTCACAATAAAATAATATAACTAGAAGAGTTTTTAGTACATATTCCTCTATTTTTAACTCTTAAATAATTTTTAGAAAACTTAAAGACTAATTTATTTTTTCAATTCGACGTCTAATTTTTTATTATTATATATATATACTTCTTAATGCCTACACAATTTGCTATAGAGGCTCAGATTCCATATCCTTATGAAGTCATTGTTTTCAGT